TCCAAGTGGCAAAAGCAGGCAACGATCCTGATTTTGTGCAAGTGCACTTTCTAATAAGGACGGGAGGAGCATAATTGCCCCTAAATAATGGCTCCGACGTTACCACAAGCTGTCAAAAGCACTTAATTGCTCGGTCTGTAATGATGCAGCCATCTGCGTTCGGGGTGATTTCAGCCACGGGGCCTGCCCGCGCGGGGCCCTCGGTGATTAGAGCTGGGCCCAGTGATATTTCTAATTCCGATGGGAGTAGTGGTGTGCAGTGTAGGAGATTATCTCATCCTCCAGTTAATGACTTACCAGTTGAACCCAGCGAAGAAGAAGCACTTGTCACACTGACCATGGCTTTTTTCTTTTAAAGACAGTTTTCCTGCCCCAACAGCAGCCTATCTGGAGAGTGATCATGCCTTTTGCTATCTTGTCTCAATGCCCAAGCAAGTCTCTTTTGGAAAGATTTAGTCCCTCAATTAGGGAAAATTGATTTCTGTTTTCTACAGAGTCACTGTTCCAAGGATAAGTGGGAAAGGGCAGGAGACACCATATTAATCTTTGCGAGCGAGCGAGAAGGCATCTGGGGTGTCTCCGTTTTCCAGCCTCTGCTGTATGTGTAGATCATTTTCTCTCTGTTTATCTTTTTTTTTTTTTTAATATGTTTATATTGATTTCAGGGAGAGGAAGGAAGAGGGAGAGAGAGGTTGAAACATCAATGACAAGAGAGAATCCTTTATCTGCTGCCTCCTGCACGCCCCCTACTGAGGATCGAGCCCAAAACCCAAGCATGTGCCCTGACTGGGAACTGAACCAAAATCTCCTGGTTCATAGGTTGACACTCAACCACTGAGCCACGCTGGCCAGGCAAAGTGAGCTGCTTGAAAAAGTCGAAGTAGGGTAAGGAGAAGAGGCACAAATCATGCAGTCGTAGATGATTGTCGGCGTAGGAAAAACATGCCTGGAAGGGGAGAGTGTAAGTTTCTACAGGGAGCCCAGCAACTTACTGGCTATATGACCCCAGGCCAGTTTCTTCTCTTCTCTGAGCATCAATTTTCTCATCTGTCAGATGCAGAGTGTGATTTTATGAACCAACGGAGATAAAATATGTGAAGCTGCTTTGCAAACTATAACCTTCCTTACCAGTGAAAGTGATTCATTTCTTTCCTGGGTTAGAAAAATAAAAGGTTCAGTAGGTTTTGGATCACACAGCCAGGCGATCCTGGCGTGAAACACAGCTCTGCTGCTCACTGTGCCGGAGGCGGGCCCTTCTCTTCTCTGGACCTCAGCTTTCTGTCTATGGAATGAAGAGACAGACATACCCCAATGGGTTCCAGGCCTGGCTGTGCCTCGCAATCCCAATGTGGTCAAGTAAACCCAAAGATGCTGGGTGCTACCCTCCATCTGTCATATCACCGGGGCCTGGGTGATGTTCTGCAGCCTTATTTATAGTCCACTCTACAGGTGACTTGGACACAGCCCCTGATTTGGGGGTTGGCAGGGAGGGGCCTTCCAGTCTAATGCCTGATGGAGGGAATTCAGAGCAGGATTGGGGTCTTGGTTAGGGAAGGTGGTCACCCCAGGGGCTGGCAAGAGCTCTGTGAGGTCTGGGCTCAGGGCCATTGGAGACCTTCTGTTCCAAACTCTGATTTCAGAGTCGGCCCAGAGGACATAAGTGATGGGCTCACTGTGCCAAACTGGGGAGCACAGTCCGATTCTCCGGGTCCCCAGTCAGGGACACTTCCACAGCACTCCAGCTTCCCCAACGAAGAGAATGTGTGTTTTGACCAATATATTTTGTAATCGAGCTAAAAGTTACAAGTAGTGAAAAAAAAATGTAGCTATCTTCAGTATACAGTTCCATAAGGTTTTAACAAATGTATACACCTGGGAAAGCAGCAACCCAATCAAAATGTAGACATTGCCTCACACCAGAACGATCCCTTGTGCTCCCATTGTTGTTGTTTTTTAATTCTCACCCAAGGATATTTTTATTGATACTAGACAAAAAGGGGGGGAGAGAGAGGAAAAAAAAACATAGATGTGAGAGAAAAACATCAATCAGTTGCCTCCCGGGGATTGAACCCACACCCATTTGATGTACAGGACAAGGCTCTAACCAACTGAGCCACCCAACCAGGGCTGTCCCAAAGCTTTTTTATCCACTTATCTACTGATGGACACTTGGGCTGTTTCACTAGCTTGGCTATTGTAACTAACGCTGCACTAAGCAGAGGGGTGCATATATTCCTTTGGATTAGTGTTTCAGGTTCTTAGGATATAGTGCCAGAAGGGGAATTGCTAGGTCATAAGACAGTTCCATTTTGTATTTTTTAGGAAACTCCATACTGCTTTCCACAGTGGCTGCACCACTCTGCATTCCCACCAACAGTGCATGAGGGTTTCCTTTTCTCCACATCCTCGCAACGCTCGTTTGTTGATTTATTGATGATAGCCATTCTGACAGGTGTGTGAGGGGATTTTTCATTGTGCTTTAATTTGCATCTCTCTGATGATTAGTGACATTGATGATTAGCATCTTTTTATATGTCTGGCCATCTGTTTCTCCTTTTGGAAAGGTATCTATTCAGGTCCTTTGCCCATTTTTTTTAAACTGGACTGTTTGGGTTTTTTGGTGTTGAGTTATAAAAATTCTTTATACATTTTGGATGTTAACCCCTTATCAAATGTATCATTGACAATCCCATTTAGTGGGTTGGCTTTTCATTTTCTTGATGGTTTCCTTTGCTGTGAAAAAACTTTTTAGTTTGATATAGTCCCATTTGTTTTGGGTTTTTTTGTTGTTGTTGTTATTTCCCTTGCCCAAGTTAATATATCAGAAAAAATATTGCTTCAAGAAATTACCAAATTTTTACTGCCTGTTTTCTTCTAGAATTTTTATGGTTTCAAGTCTAACATTTAAGTATTTAATCCATTTTGAATTTATTCTTAGATATGGTGTAAGGTTATCTTGTTTTATTTTCTTTTATGTATCTGTCCAATTTTCCCAGTACCATTTATTGAATAGACTATCTTTACCCCATTGTATGTTTTTGCCTCCTTTGTCAAATATTAATTGACAATAAAAGCATGGGTTTATTTCTGGGCTGAGAACTGGCTTTTAATATGGAGTCTTCCAATCTATAAATATTATTTATCTATTCATTTATCTGGACCTTTATACATGAGACTACTACAAATGCTATTTTTGTTGTACTTTCCAATTGTGTTTTGCCAGTGTATAGAAATAAAATTGATTTTTTTTTTTTAGAACCTAACAGCCTTATGGAAATATAATTTACATCCCATAGAAATCACCCATTTTAAGTCTGTAGTTCAATGTGTTTTTAAGTGAATTTATGCAGTTGTGAAACTAATACGATAATTCATTTTTAGAATATTTCCATCACTCCAAAACATTTTCTTGTGCCTGTTTGCAGTCAACTCCCAATCCCAACCCAGCCTCAGCCAACCACTGAATTCCTTTCTGTCTCCGGAGTTCTACCTTTCCAGAAATTTCACATAAATGGAATCATATAATATCTAGTCTTGTATGTCTGACTTCTTTAACCTAGCATAATATTTTTAAGGCTCAACCATATTATTGCAATAGCTTGTTCCTTCTTTATTGCGGAATAACATTCTATGGTATGGCTCTTCTACATTTTGTTTTCCATTCACCCTTTGATGGACATTTAGATGGTTTTCAATTTGGGGCTGTTATGAATGCTGCTGCTGTGAACATGAGTGTACAAGTTTTTATGTGGACATGTGTTTCCATTTCTTTTGGGTGTATGCCTCAGAGTGGAATTGCTGGATTATAACCATGTTTAACTGTTTGAGGAACTGCCAGGCTGTTTTTCTAAGTAACTGCACCATTTTACGTTCCCACCAACAGTGTATGAAGATGCTTATTTCTCCATATCCTTGTTAACACTTGTTATTATCTGACTTTCCGATTATATCAGTCCTGGTGGATGTAAAGTAATAATGGTGTCACATACTACTGAGGACTTGCATATTCCCTGATGATTGATGATGATAAGCATATTTTCACGTGCTTTTTGACCATTTGTATATCTTCTTTTGAGACGTACCTATTTATATCCTTTATCCATGTTTTTAATTGAGGTAAAATTCACATAAAATTAACCAGGTTCAAGTATTCAATTGAGTGGCATTTAGTACATTCGCAGTGTTGTGCAACCATCACCTCTATCCAGTTACAAAATATTTTTATCATCCCAAAAGGAAACCCCATACCCATTAAGCAGCCGCTCCTTATTCCCCCGACCCAGGCCCTGGCAATCACTAATCTGCTTTCTTTCTCTATGGATTACCTATTCTGGAATTTCATACAAATGGAATCATACAATATGTGGTCTTTTGTAACTGGCTTCTTTTACTTAGTATAATGTTTTTAAGATCCACCCACGGTGTAGCATATATTAGTTCTTGATTCCTTTTTATGGCTGAGTAATAGTCCATTGTATGGATATATTCTGTATTTGTTTATAACATTCATAGGCATTGGAAACATGGGTTATTTCCACCATCTGACTATTATGAATAGTGCTGCTATAAACATTCACGTATAAATAATGAAAAGATTGTTTTTACCTAATCTGGGTCCCTTCATCCCTTGCATTTCCATAAATCTTAGGATGAGCTGTCAGTTGTCAATTTCTGCAAAGAAATCAGCTGTGATTTTAATCACGTTGACTCTGTAGATCAATAAGGGCGGTTTTATTAATATCCTAACAATATTAAGTCATCTATTCAATAAGAACATGAACTGTCTGTCCATTTCTTTTGGCCTTCAGTTCCTTTCAATAAGGTTTTGTCGTTTTCAGAGTGTACAGTTTGTACTTGAAAGGGGCAATGAGGCAGTGTGTCGAGAGCTGTGTCTACACTGTAAAGTGCAGTGCACAGGCAAGGGAGAGATCATAAGAGTAAGACTACTGAGCAGCTCTTCTTACCCAGAGTCCCTCTTTCCTCTTCTGTCTCCCTCCCAGAGCACCTGAAGAAGCCTCTTGAAGACTACATGGCCCATTTCCCCAGTGTGAGGATTCTCCGAACCAAGAAACGGGAAGGGCTGATAAGGACCCGGATGCTGGGGGCCTCGGCGGCCATTGGGGACGTCATCACATTCTTGGACTCACACTGTGAAGCCAATGTCAATTGGCTCCCCCCCTTGCTCGGTAAGGGACTCTCCCAAAACAAAGTAGGCGATGCGGCATGAGCCAGCAGCAACTGGCCCCAGCCACAGAAGTTGCTGAGATGCACCCAGCATGGTGCCAGGTGCCCTCAGAAGTTCAGGAGTGCTCAAGGAGACCCTAGCGACCCATCCGGTCCTGTTCCTTCCTTTTACAGAGAAAGGAGCTGAGACTCAGAGGGGAAGTGGCGTGCCAATGCCGTCCAGCACATCAGTTTCTGAGACATGATTGCTCTCCCAGATTACGTCAATATTTCTTAGAAAGCAAGCCAAAGCTATCTACCATTAAGAACCAAACTGAGAGCAGTTACTATTCACCGCACAGCTCCTGTGAGCCAGCAAGGTTGCAAGCATTGTCTCTAATTCTCACAAAACTATGCCAGGTCAGACATATCCCTTTTTTTATAGTAGAAGAGACTGAAGTTCAGAGTCAGTCTCTTGAATGTATTCGATTTATTAGAGACTATCATTCAGTTTATTGAATGATGCATTTATTCCCTTGGGCTCTACGTGTCAAAGTCACCATCTGTCTGGCCCTGAAGTCTGTCTTTCATGATTCCGCATTGCCTCCCTAAATTCAGTCCTCTTTGGAGAGTTTATGCCAACTACCAGGGGAGGACCATCGATGGAGGGCAGCATGACGCAGGCGTCGTCCACCGTAGCTTGGAGGACAGAAGGGAGACACGAGGATTGGATGCCGGCGTCTCCTGGCTGGTTGGAGAACCAGGCCTGAATCTCCAGGTGTCCGCTTTGATAAAGGCAGTGCGCCGGTGCGGACAGTTGGACATTGAAGAGGAAATGTCCCACTGAGACTGGGAGTTCGGAGAGGGACGGCGATGGCGGCAGACTGGGGGAGAGCTACCAATCCAGAGAGGAAGTGAACCCCTCAGAAGTGGAGGGATATGCTCTCTGTAACAGAAAGCTGGGGGAGCAAAGGGGGCTGGAGTTTAGGGCGAACTTGAGGGTGCCTCAGAATCCCCTGGAAGTCTTGTCAAAACACAGAGTGCCGGGCCCCACCTCCAGGGTTTCCAGTTTGGGGGGTCCCGAGTGGGGCCTGAGAAGCTGCATTTCTAACCAGCGCCCCGGTGGAGCCAGTGCTGCTCTCCAGGGACCAAGCTTTGAGGGGCACTGGGTAGGCCACGGTTCGGGGGTGAGAACGGAACCCAAAACCCACCCAGTTGGAGTGGGATAACCAGTGTGCTGGGTCCCAGCACAGATCAGCACATGTTAGATTATGCACTTGTGTGTGGTTAGGAAAAGGATAGAACCCAGACTTTCTGGTAAACAGTTGATTTCATTAAACCAAGAGGTCTGCCTCTGCCTCTCCTGACTGAAAGAGAACAAAAAAAAAAAAACAAGAAAGCCTCACCGTAAATCGCCTAATTGATAGTTGTGAAGGGACAACCCATTCGTTGGGCCATTCGGTGGCTCATAAAGAGAATGGAGTGGTGGGGCGGGAAGCCGAACTGGTTGTCTCAATAGCCCTTAACTCTGTTTCTATGGAAATACAGGAAGGTAATTTTCATAATCTGCAGACAAACATGGAAGAAGCATCCCCCTCTCTTTTTCTTTTTTTTTTCTTCCCTTTTTGCAATAGAAATGTGAACCACTGGTGTCGATTTAAACGTCTGCCCAGCTAATATGATCAGCAGACAGAGCACATTATGGCTTTTGTCTCTGAAGCCATTTACACCTCTGTGCACAGCTCAGTCTGCCTTCTTTGGAGAGCGAGCGTTTCTGAGTGAGAAGGAATCAGCGCCCCAAAGGAAAACCGCTGTTGATCATCATTTCCTCCATCATTATCATTACCATCATCATCATCATGGCTCTGCTCGTCTCCTAGCTTTCTAGGCCACATCCCCATTTGAATTTGATGACTCCGTGCTAGAACAAGCAGGCCAGGCATTAGTATCAACATCTTGCAAATGAGAAACCTGAGGGGCAGGGAGAACGGGGGAGAGGCTCAGCCTTCCAGCGCCTGCTTCTGAGCTTCTTCCAGCAACCCCGGTCACAGACGGTATCGGGAGTGCTGATCAGGTGCTGGGCGCCTTGGCCTCCTTGTCTCTCAGTCTTCAGAGACCCCCATGAGATAAGCGGTATCTTCCTCCATTCTGTCGGCAAGGAAACTGAGACTCAGAGGCATCGGATGACCTTCCCCAAGGTTATACGGCTAGTAGGTGACAAAACCAGGGCTCGAACCTGGGCATTCTGTCCCTAAGTGAGCCCAGCACTGAACAGGGCTGGGCCGATGCAGCCCCTTGACCTCAGACCTCTCACGGTCAGCCAGGATCCAGCAGAGCACTGTGTCCTAAGTCCAAACCCTTCCTGAAGTGAGATCCCCAGACCGGCCATGAATAGTGAGGAAGGGAGGCCTTCTCTAGCTCCCTCCCTGGAGAAGGGTTCTGCTTCATTAAGAATTCCCAGGGAGCTGTCACAAGGTTGCTCCATCTCCACCCTCAGAGATTCTGCTTCAGTAGGTGGGGAGGGGTAAACACACCCCTGGTGGCAGCTGCCCACCTACTCTGCCCCCACCACACTCCCCATTCCAAGTCTTGAATCTGACTCCTGGCCCGAAGCCAGCAGACATTTCCCACTCTCCCCCACTCCCCCCCCCCATCCCCCCCAGCACACTGGCACCCCCGGAGGAGAACGCCGGGTCTTAGAGATGTTAGTTATGTAGCTGACCCAGGACCCCCGTCCTAAGCGTCAGGACTGGGATGGGAACCCTGGTCCATCTTTTTTAAAGCTTGCGCCCTCCCTTCTCCAGGATTCTCAAGCTCAAGTGTTCAGATAATTTACCCAGGAAACACATTAAAAATTCAAACAAGCTGCAGAAGAGGGTCATGCACTCAGCTGCTCCCCCATCCTGCCTCCCTAATGTGCATCTCTTGGCTTCCTCAGACCGCATCGCTCGGAACCGCAAGACCATCGTGTGCCCGATGATTGACGTGATTGATCACGATGACTTCCGGTATGAGACCCAGGCGGGCGACGCCATGCGGGGCGCCTTTGACTGGGAGATGTACTACAAGCGGATCCCAATCCCTCCAGAACTGCAGAAGGCTGACCCCAGTGACCCATTTGAGTAAGTATGAGGAACCAGGCTGGCCCCAGTAGCTGAGCTGACCCAGTGACTCCCTCCTCAACACACACAGCTCAGGATTGCCATCTCCCCCAAAAGTCCAGTGCAGACAGGCCAGGGCAGATGTCCCCAACCAGAAGCACAGTCCATCCCAGCTTGTCACAGACCTTCAGCTCATGGACCACCAAGCTGGTCACCTCGTCCTTGCCCACCTCTGTGCAGTTTGCTGCCATTGCCAACTGAGGAAATGAGTTGCTTCCCTGAGGAAATGGAGGGGGTCAGGGCGATGGAGCTGCATGAGCAGAGCCCCGGTGCCTCTTCAGCAGGTCAGACGTTTGTTCTTCTCCTGACCTATGTCCTCAACTCGGTCCAACACTACTAGTCAAGTCAGAGAGGAGGTGACACCTGCCCAAGATGACACATAATAGAGGCTGAGTCAGAATGGGCTGCTCCAGGAAATGGAGTTTTCAGACTAACCAGAACCCGCTGTATGGTTTGACCCTTTGCCATGAGGCAATTCATAGGCTCTAAGGTTTGAAAGGTACATAGGGCGGGGCTTGGCCCGTGCCCCCTCCTCACTACGGGATGAGGAAAGGGCACATTCAGGTCATGCAGCTGGTTAGTGGCAGAGGCCCAGCCATTTTCCCCTGAGGCCTCAGTCTGCTCATCTGGATATTGAAGGGTTGGCCCAATCCAATTCTCAACCCTGGGTGCCTATTGGCATCAAGTGCAAGTCACCCTCCCCCCAACCCCCAGCCAATTACTGCAGAGTCTGGGGGTGATATCTGGACATCATTTTTGTTTTCTTTTGTTGTTGTTAATTATCACCCGAAGATATTTTTTTCATTAGTTTTTAGAGAAAGTGGAAGGGAGGGAGGGACGGATAGATGGTGGCGAGTGGGGGGAGGGACACATTGGTGCGAGAGAGACATCAATTGGTTGCCTTCTGCATGAGCCCCAGCTGGAGCTGGGAATCAAACCTGGGTTCATGCTCTTGACCAGGAATTGAGCCCATGACCCTTTGGTGCACTGGCCAGCGCTCTAACCACTGAGCAACACTCGCCAGGGCTGGACATCATTGTTTTTTTAAGATCCCGGGTGATACTAATGTGTGGCCAAGGTGGAGAGCCACTGGCCTAAAGGCTTCCTGAGGGACTCTCCCTGTGTTGTATCCTCTGATTCCTTCCAGAAGTCTCTCCTCTATATTGCACTTGGACAAAACCCAGGGGAGATGCCGCAAGATAAATCCTGGTCATTTTCTGCATGCCTCTCCACGGTGCCAGCAGGCGGGCGATCTGTAGGCACAGCGTGGTGTAATGATGTTGGAAAACCTCGGGCTTTGGTGGCACACCCCGGTGTGAATTACGGCTCATCCACTTACTCCCTGCATGCCCTTGAGCAGAGTATATAGCATTTCTGAATTTCAAATTCCTCCATCTGAAAACGGGGCTAGTGATAGGGCTTTGTGAGAGCTGGAGATAATGCCGGTCAAGTGCACGGCAGACACCAGACACTCAGAATTGTTGTTGCTGTTGCAGATAATAGATCGGGCTAAAGGAGAGGCTCCCTCTGGAGTCACAGCCTCAAGCATCCAAACACCTTGCGGCCCATCGCCTACCTGTTGTGAGGCCTCCTAATGAGGCAGCTCCTTGGCCGGGTCCCTGGCAGCCAGCCAGGCTGGTTTTTGAGTGCAGAGTCCTGGGTTTGATTTCATAAATATGCCCCTCCGAGCAGCATATTTAAGAATCCAGCCAGAAAACCCAAAGCCACCATCTTCAGAAGATAGGAGAGAGTTGATACCATTGCCACCTTATCCTCTTATAGTCCTAGGTACTTTCAGAAATACCATGTTTCCCCGAAAATAAGACATCCTCCGAAAATAAGACCTAGCGCATGGAAAGATAAGACATCCCCTGAAAATAAGACCTAGCGCAACTTTGGGAGAAAAAATTAATATAAGACACTGTCTTATTTTCGGGGAAACGGTTTACTAGCAAGGTGAGCTAGGAAGGTCTGCTGTGTAAACGGGAAGCGGCCTCACTGAGGTTAAAATCAGCACTGTCCAGCAGAAATCTCATGCAAGCCACCTATGTATTTTTACATTTCCTAGTAGCCATGTAAAAAAAAAAAAAAAAAAAAAAAAAAAAAAAAAAAAAAAAAGGCAAAGAGAAGCAGGTAAAATTTATTTGGTAGCATATTTTATAGCTAAAACATTCCCATTTTAGCATGTAACCAACATTTTGAAATCATTAATGAGATCTTCTCTGTTCTTGTCTGCATACTAAGACTTAGAAATCTGTGTGTGCGTTACACTCGCAGCTCCCCTCCATCCAGACCAGCCACATTGCAAGTGCCCCGGATGGGCAGCACAGGGCCAGTGGTTACGTCCTTCATCGCAGGCACGCTACAGGCTAAGAGGAGCCCAGAGCGCAGTGAGGGTCTCCCATCCTTTTCACTCAATTGCCCCTTCCTGACAGGAAGTGGGGTACCGTGGCCGTGGGGGGTGTGGGCTGTGGCAGTTTAGAGGGGTAAGTCCTGCTTAGTGGCTGTGAAGCCTTGAGCAAGTTACCTGCTGCACCCTGGTTTCTGCTTGCATAAAATAGGATGGTAATGATGAGGCCTGCCTCCTGGCGTCTACGTGAGGAGTGAGAGCGCTTTATTGCTAAATTAGTTCAATTCAGCATCTGGGATAGTCAAGCCTTCAGTCAGAGTCAAGAGGACCCCTTTTATTTTTGTGTGTTTTTCCATTGAGATTTTAGAGGGGGAGAGAGAGAAACATCTGCGCTCCCAGGGGTCCTTATGGCCCCACCTGTCTCCTGGGTCCTCTGTCCTGAGGTGCGGCCCTGCCACTGGCATCCCTGGGTCCGTCCGGCTGCTTTGCCTCCAGACGCCTCCAGCATCTGCTTCCCAGCCGGAACTCAGTGAATGAATTGATAAAGATGGCCAAGGAGTTCACCCTAGTCCCGTGTGACTGAAAGATCGGAGGCCGTGGCTTCTGTCGCCTCTCGGCAGAACAAGTGTCTATGCTGAACGGACAGAACCCTCTCTGGAGCAGGTCTAAAACACAGGTTCCGAGGCTCCTTCCCCAGAGAGGGTTTTGTAGGTCTGGGTATAGGCTCAGGAAGCTGTATGGTTTCCATCTCTAAGACATCTGACAGCCAGCCAGACTTGGGAAGGCCTGGTGGGAGGGCTGGTGGGGAGAGAGAGAGATGATTCAGCTACAAGGTTCATGGGGAGAACATGCTGTGATTTCATTTCACAAGGATTCCCTGGTGTTAAACGCGTATAGGAACGCTGGGCCCGCTTGGTTAAAAGGGAGCATTTATGAAGGGAAGTGTAGGCGAGGAAGACAAAGGCCTGAGCCTCACCCGAAGGGCCTGGGATTCCCCGCAGAACACGTGGGCTGTGCTCATGGAGCAACGGGACCCCCACCGCAGGGGAACAGCAGTATCCGCGTGCTCTCACGTCCTCACACCACGCTCTGCTTCCTTGGCAGGTCTCCCGTGATGGCCGGTGGACTGTTCGCCGTGGACCGGAAGTGGTTCTGGGAGCTGGGCGGGTACGACCCAGGCCTGGAGATCTGGGGAGGCGAGCAGTATGAGATCTCATTCAAGGTGAGCCAGCGCCTGGAAGCCCCCTTCTCCTGGCACCGCCTCTTGGCAGCTGTGCTGGCAGGTTCCCCCGCTCTTGTCTGTCTGAGCCTGGAGACAGAAGGCCGTGGGGTTCCTAAGGTGAAGGGTCACCGTCTCCCTTTCGTTGTGGCTCTCAGGTGAAGATCAGGTTTCTCTGAGGGGAAGGTTAGCCATGTGGTCAGCCAGGACTGGCTTCTCACATCCCCAGAGCCCCTAGCAAGGTGTCTCCCCAGCTCATGATGGATGGCCAGGGGGCACCATTGCCAGACCAGAAATGGGCACACCTGTGTTCTGAGATCTCACCTGAATATAAACTTCCCCGGGGTGGTGATCTTTGTGTGCTCCACTTACCGCTGTATCCCAAGTACCGGAAGGGTGTCTGACTCAGAAGACACTTCCTAAGTGTGTTGGTTGAATATTAAGAGCAGGCCTGTCCCTGGCCAGAGCCACCTCCTTGGGCAAGGAGTCCCCCTACAGAAACTCACTTTGTGGAGAACAGTGAACGGAGAAGGATTTGCCCAAAGGACTTCTGAAACCCAAAATGATTCCATTCTGTGTGTTTTCTAAAGGCCCGTCTAATGATGCTCATCGGGCAATTACAGCACTGCAAATGGCATTCTTCCCCACACAGTTTATTTACAAAGGGCTCGGTAATGAAGCCATTTTGGAAGTCTGTCGCCGGGGAGGGGAAGGAGGCTGGCTCCTGCTTCCATTTGATCCAATTATGTCCTTCACCTCGAGGGGAAGAAGACGGTGTAATGAGGAGGCTCCCTTCCCCTCTCCTGGCTTTGAGAGCGAGAGTTCCCGGATCCGTAGCCGCCCATCTGCCGGTGTTTTGTCCCAAGGCCCCGGGGACAGCCCGCCCCGGCGCCAAGCGGACAGGAGGGCTCCATCCTCTGCTGGCGACGCCTCCCTGGAATGCCAGCTGTTCCATCTCAGGCAGAGCGGGCATTTACAAAGGGCCAGATTCCCTCTGATTGATCTCTGCTGAGATCCCGTTTCTTCTTGGTGACAGAGAAGAGACGCGTGTGAAAGACTGAGTGTATTTTCAGAAATTAAGACAAGTTGATACGTGCCAACAGCACTGATGGATTAATAATTTGACTCCAATTCCAGACTACACCATCTATCCTGATGGGAAAACCTTAGAAAAGATGTCCTAAAGGCTCTGGAATTTCCAAAAGAGTCGTTGACCCTTTTCTTCCCCTCTTTCCTATCCTCTCATTTCTCTTAGCCAACAGAGATTTTTTTTTCTCCCCAAAGGCACAGTCACGTCATCAGCACCATGTCCTCCTACCCCATTGCATTAGTCTGGACTCTTGATTACAGGTGACCAAAAGCCTAGTCGACCTGATTTAAGCGAAAAGCCAGAATCAATTGGCCCACACAACTGGGGTTCCAGGTAGACCCTCTGGGCCCGGCTGGATCCAGAGACAAACTCGGCCCAGTCTCGGTCCCTCTCGGTCCCCTGGCCGTGGTTGGCTTCCTGTGTGGGCAGGCTTCCTCTCTGTGGGAACACTCAGCAGCCCATTGGACAGAGTTCCTCTCTCCCATCTTCCTGTGCAAGTCCCCACGTTGTGTCTCATTGGCCGGCTGGTCCCTTACCTCCCCAAGCAACGTTCATATTGGTCCGCTAACAGTCACATGTCCATCCTGGAACCAGGAAGCTGGCCGGCTCCCCAAAGGGAAGTCTGGCCACTGCATCCGAAGGGGGGATAGATGTGGAGCCTGGCGAACCATGGATGTCCACCTCCCCCAGCCCAGCAGCACTGCTCACGGACCACAGGCCCATCTTTGGAAGCACACACTACTCCCCTTTCCTCAGTGTGGCCACTCCACACTCAGCCTTCTGGGCTCAGCTCTTGAGATGGCCTCCTGTCCGCCTCACCTAGCTCCCTGGGTTCACCTACCTCATGCTGACATGACCCAAAGGTTGGCCTGTCTTCCCCACTGGACTCTGAGCTCCCTGGAGGCTGGGGGTGAGTCTGGTCCCATCCCTGTACCCCAGGGCCTCTTCGTCATAGCATTTTAAATAACTGTTACTGGCATTGATTCCTACCTGGTAGTACTTTTTCCGCCCTGCCCTCCCCAGCCTCACACCACAGCCTCTAGGTGATGGTGATGTGCTGGGGAAGGTGTCAGTGAGAAAGCAGGGTGCTGGCCTCTCATCCCTGCTCGCCATCCACCTGGGACCTGGACTTGTCGCTTGACCTCTAGGGCCCTCACATCCCAGATGGTGTTGAGGTACTTTTCCCTCTTCCTCCCCGATGAGGTAGGATGGAACAGGATGCTCTCGCACTGGCGCAAGGGTAGTTTGGGCTGGAAGTGGCCGTGGCTGTGGCAGGGAGCAGGAAGGGGGCCGCACCTTTGGTTGTGCGGATACTTCTCTCTCTGGATCTCGGAGTTGAAACTCTCCTAACGCAGGTTAGGAGAGTTTCAACTCCGAGATCCAGAGAGAGAAGTATCCGCACAACCATGTGGCTGACCAGGCGTGAGAAAGATGCGGGCTTTGGGGTGAGGTAAATGGGTATTTATTTTATTAATAGCAGTTTGGCAAAATCTGTTACATTTCACAGCAAGTGCGTTCTTTGACCCAAAATTCCATGCTCAGGAGTTTCTCTGAGAGACAGTGCATAGATGAGCAAAGATTTAGGTGGAAGCTATTTATTGAAGCGTTACTTACAATAAGGGAAATTGAAAATGACCCAAATGTGTGTCCTCGGGGGATAATAAGGGAGTGCCTATCCCAACAGTGGGATGCTCTACAGACGGTGACTTTCAGTGGTTCCACTGTTACTTTAGGACGGTGCACAAGCAGTAAGCATTCGGTAGAAACCAGGCTTGGATTTTGAAATGTGATCTTTTCTTGGGCTGCTGGTACGTTGAACAGTACTCTCCCTGGTGCTGGGCAGTAGCCACTCCAGCTCCTGTGAGCCACGCACGCGGTCAGAGAGTACACAACCAAATCCCATAGGCTAAAGAAGGGAAAATATGTAGGTTTTTCAGCTCTCTGGGCCCATCCCCTCTCAATATATATCTCAACACTTGGGCCATTTGCAAGTCCAGGGCTAGGATTTCCCACAGGCCGGCCAAGAGGAGGGCGTCCAGGGAGAGCGGAGCCCTGAGTGTGAGTCCACAGGGTGGCGCTGGGGGCAGAGATGTGCCCCAAGACCCTGGGAGAGACGGGGGCTTGGGGGAGTGGTCTGAGGGTGCCGTGAGCAGACTTGTGAGAGCCAGGTAGTGGTGGAAAGCCACGGAGGGACAAGGGAGAGCCACGTTCCACCTGAGAAGGAAACCCATCACATCTGAGTAGCTTAGAGGCCTCGGGTGAGTGCTGTTTGCATTGTTTGACACCAATATCCTTAACCAAAAGCCAAACTGGTCCCAGACTGGGCAGATTTAAACAACAGAAACACTCGGGTGTCTTTTCCATAAAACTCACAGCGTCCTCAAGAGGAGGAAGTGAAAACCGTGTGTGTGGAACAAGGTAGATGCACCCAGAACCTGGTCAAGGGTGACGTTGAGACCTGGTGCCCTGAGAGGTTTGGGGAGGAGACCAGGGTCCCTTAGCTAGACGGGGCAGAGCCAGAGCTGAATCCCAGATGTCTTGACTCTAAGTCCAATGCTTACCAGTGGGAGGGGCAGAGAAAAGGCAGGCCCAGCAGAGAGAGGCCATTGATATAGGTAGAGCCCAGAAGTCAGGACCCCAGGGGGGCTGAGTTGCCACGTGGGAGGAAGAAATGGTTTCCAAAGGCTAGTGCTGCAGTGTCCCTGCGGGGGACCGGTGTGCCCTCCTTCACTGGGTGATCCAAGGATGCTGGGAGCACCTCTGCTGCGTGCAGCATTTTCCTCCCGGCCACGTGTGCCCAGGCTTCCCAAGAGCCATCTGCTGGGAACAGGGGAGGCATTCTTCTCAGGACTCTCAACAAGCCATTTGCAATCCCATGCATTCTCTGGGGAGCCTGCCCTCCTGCCACTCCTTCAGCAAGGCGGCTCAGAGCCCCAAGGGTGCCCGGGCCACGTCACCCCTGACTAACACACACCTGTCTCTTTCGGGCCTCAGTCTTTCACCACTAAAAATAACAAAAGTAACTTCTTCAGGTGGTGTTGTCAGAACTAAACAGGGCAAAACATGTGCTTGGCCTGGAGTCAGGCAGAGGAGGTGCGTAGAGAGTGGTGGGTGTTCTGATCAGAGCCCCCATGTTAAATAGAGCAGCACAGGATGGGGTACAGGGGCGTCATAATCCAGTCGCCCGGGTTTGGGTGAAGGCTTCATCAGCTTGTTACTGTGTGGCCTTAGGAGAGTGACCTAACTCTCTGGACTTAACTTCATCTGCAAATTGGGCATGGTATACCCTTACTTCACGGTGTGGGTGTGAACATATTAGCCAAACTGGTAAAACCTCAGCTCAGTGCTTGGCACTTAGGTGGTCCCTGGGTGGTTGCTGTCAATGTTGGTGATTGATGTGATCAGGCTGCAGTTGCGGGAAGGCGGGAGTGGAAAGAGCTTTGAGGCTGGCAAGACAAGAGGCCAAAGGCCTTGGCACCAGGCCCTGCTGGGGCACGGAGGCTCAGTGAGACCTTGGACAGCTCCCCTGCCCTGACTTGGTTTTCGTCTCCTCATTGACAAGGGCACTAACAGCACTAACAGCCCCAAACGCACAGGCACGTCTGGAAGGCAGTGTGAGTGGCCGGCACATTCTGTCAAGAGGCGTGTGCACGGTTGTCCCAGCGTGGCCCCGGATCAGCAGTACCAGCAGCACCTGGGAACCTGTTAGGAAAGCAAGTGTACTCAGGCCCCACTGCAGCCCTGCTGGGTCAGACACGCCGGTGGGGCGCAGAGGTCCTTGGTTTAACCAGCTCTCCAGGTGATTCCGATGCTGATCCCAGGTTGCAGCTCGTGGCTGGACTGCATAGACTGGTCCTGAACAGAGAGGGTGCTCAGGGTGTGGAAGGACAGAGAAAAGGGGGAGATTGGTCCG